TCCTTTGTGTTCTCATCAACGAAATTTGTCTCCAGTTCTTCCAGGATTTCAGGGTTAAAAGTACCGTCTTCATTGGTAGTAAATTATCAAAAACGACTCTCCTCGATAGGAAGAGACAGGGTGCTGCAAGCAGGTTCATCGGACCAGAACCTCTGTCATTGACATCGCTTTAGGCTTTGCCAAACAAAGATTGAACACCTGGATGGCAAAAAGATTTATGAACTTCTGGCAGAATCTTCCAGGACTGGCTCACCCCAAGGGAAGCTTGATACCAAACAGTTGTTTGAATACAGTAGGGATGAACTACAATGTCGAACAGACCTTCTTACAGGTCACTGTCATTTGAATCATCATATGCAGAGACTTGGACTGTCGGATGTATCGCCTCTGTTCGGAAGATGACGAAACAGCAGAGCACATACTTTGTGCCTGCCCCGCTGGGGATCGAATCAGGTTTTTAGAGTTCGGCAGAGCCGTACTCTTACCATCTGACCACGATACAAACTAATGAGCTTCGTTGAGAAGCTGGGTTTATGTGGTCGAGTGTGAACAGGTGTGAGCCACAATAAACCCTTGCGGATTGCGGTGGAGGGTCGAATAGACCTACTCACTTCGAACTTAACCTAACCGTCTTCAATGATATCACTCTGAGGTGAAGCATTAAGACAAGCTTGCCCATTACACTAGCCGCAAGCTAAATACCACTGCAACCCTGCTTTTCTGCATCCAAACTGCGAACTACAACTATTCTTGAAGTTGAAGAATATTGTGTTAAGCAATTCCTCCGGAGCTGGTGGATTCATTGTCATAACAGGTTATAGGAATTCATCACACATTATCCAACTCCAATTCTGGGGTTCTAAATCATGCCCTAACCAAGTCTGAACTTGATAATAAAAACAGTTGAAATGTTGGGGAGCTGCTGCACTCATTAGAGGAAGATTTGATAACTGCACAGGTTTATTCAGTTTTGTTAACCTGATGAACTGTGCATAGCGAAGACGATCGATACAGGCCTCAAATTTTGGANGAAAACAGAAACTTTTTACAGCAGAAGTAGCAAAAAAGGACAACTATCCGTACACTTTTTGCGATGAGAAATAAACGCCAATCAAAATGATGTGACGCTTGATCACCCTTCACATTAAAAATTCTAAGGGTAATATCTCCCCCCTCCTAGAGGGTTGAACCACGAGGGCTACAAATAGTGCTTGATCGTGTCCCCCTTGACAATAAAATTGACCTGTTTTCTCGCTTCCTCATATTGTTTACTGGAAGGAAGATATTAATGGTGGAAAGTTTTCGAATTGACACCCTGTAGATTGCCAACAAGGTTCGCAGTTTTTTTCTTCAAATGCTGCAGCAATTTGATCCAATTCGGAAGTTTCTCGAGTGTAGGTAAGTGTAATCAAATGAATAGATACTGAATTTAAAAAAAAATTAAATTATTATTATTAAGAAATTATTAAGAATTACATTTTTATCAATAATTCATAAACTTTATACGGCTTGTTTTCAATTGGGACTACAGGTTGACCTTGAATGATACTCTAAATAGCGCGCGCTCTGCCCTATATCTCAAAAATGATTCAAGATATAAAAAAAACATTCGAACAAAAGTTGTAGAGAATTTAACTCTCTACAATATTTATAATGAATACAAATATCACAAAACTCATAGGAAACGAAATATTTACAATAAATGTGTGAAAAGTTGATTTTTTAACTTTTGACCTTGGAGTCCCTACGACACCCTACGATAAGTAGGGTGTCCGCCAAGGACATGTTTTTGGGTGCCACAATATAGGGTTTATACAACTTTATAGTTGACTATCTCTCATTCTGAGATACGTGCCCTCATTTGATTAATATTTCTGGACTACTTCATATCAATTAAGTTGTGTGAGGATCAACAGAAGTTTGACTCGGTCTAACTTTATCGTTCAGTTATGATTTGTCTGCCAATTCCTTTCAAGTTGAAATATGTCTTTACGATTTTCACATACATTGACGAGAATTGACCTCAGTTCTTCTTTCAACAAAACACTCACAATTTCATGCACAACCGAATTACATTAAACTGCGTTGAAAATGAAATAAATTGAATGAATTTTTGTTGAACAATGTCAACATATAACTAATTCAAGTCATATTCCACATTTGTTGAACAACTTGACTCGTGAGAACGCGCTTTTTAATCAATCCCCTGCAGTAGCGTAGCGGATCGTTTGGCGTCGCCAAAAAAATCATAAAATATCGATTTGTATATAATTTAGGTTCAGAAAGGTTCACAGTACTAGATTTCGNCTAACGCTGATTACCACGTGAATTGTTGAATGTAATGGCTACTTTTGATAATTAAAGTATTAAGACATTAATCCTGGCTATTAATGTTAGATGGTGTCAGGTAAATTGGATTAAACCCTGGAGTGTGTATAATTGAACACTGGAGAACTATGGAATCGTTATTTAAACCACCTGAGCCCCTGTGCATTCAAGGTAACCTAGCTGATAATTGAAAAAAGTTCACACAATGGTTTGATTTGTTCATGAAGGCAACAGAAAGGGAAAATAAAGATGTCAAGAAGCAGATAGCTGTGTCTTTAAGCTTGATTGGAGAAGATGGGTTGGATATTTACAATTCATTTACATTGACAGAAGAGGAAAGGACATCCTTGAAAGAAATAAGGAAGAAATTTGAAGAACATTGCTCCCCTCAAAAAAATGTAATATATGAGAGGTTTATATTCAACTCGATAGGTCAAAAGGAAGGTCAGAATTTTGATAGTTTTGTTACTAAGAGAAAAGGACCTAACATTGCAAAAGGCAATAAACATTTGTAGAGCAATTGAGGCTAGCAAATCTGAGGCAAAAGCCTTACAAACAGAAGCAGTGGTCAGTACAGTTCGCACTCAAAATCACACTAAAAATAGGGCAAAAATGCCTAGTAAACAGGAGAAAAAGAATTCTCCATAAGCTGTGCCCAGCTTATGGAGAAGTTTGTCATGGCAAATATCATTTTGCAAGTGTATGTAGAAGAAAAGAGGTATCGTCAAACCAAAGCAGAAAACAAGAAGTTTGCCAAGTGGAGGTAGGTGAAGACTCTGAAAATGAGAGTGAGGTTGAGAGTTTCTTTGTAAGCTCTTTGCAAAAGAGAGTTGATGGAGTACAGGCAAATAGGGAATCCATGTGGACCAAGCAAGTATCAGTAGAAGGTAAAGCAGTCAACTTCAAGCCAGATACCGGAGCTGAGGTGAGTGTGCTTCCTTTAAGCGTATTAAAGAAGATAGGCCCTCGTGCGCAGATGATGAAAGCAAAATTGACATTAATATCATATGGCAGCCCCGATTTCAAAATCGGAACTGTAGAAGACATCTCCTTGCAATGTAGTGTAAAAGATAATTGTGAATATTTATCATTTGTAGTGGTAGATAGTAAAAATCAGATGCCTTTGTTAGGGTTGAAAGGATGTTTAGCACTGAACTTAATTAGGAGAATTGACAGTTGTACACTGCCTTTCAATAGTGTTAATGATGAAGTTAAGTTGTATTATAAAGTTTTTTCAGGATTAGGTTGTTTTCATTCGAATCATTTAAAAAAAAGATGGTTTACCACATGTTCAATCAGTAAGACGTATACCTCAAGCACTTCATGACCGAGTTAAGCACAAGTTAGATGATCTTCAGAGTCAAGGTATAATCAGAAAAGTTGAAGAGCCTACTGAATGGCTGAATCCATCAGTTATTGTAGAGAAAAGAAATGGAGATTTGAGGTTGTGTCTTGATCCTTAGATGTTAAACAATAATAAACAACGTGAGCATTTTTTGATTCCGACAGCCGACGAAATTGCTAGCAAACTCACAAACAAATCTTTTTTTACAGTATTAGACATGAAAGATGGCTATTTTCAGATGAAAATTGATGATCAATCATCTAAGTATTGTACCTTTGGTACACCCTTTGGTCGCTACCAATTTTGTCGTCTTCCATTCGGTATAAGCTCAGCACCAGAAGTTTTTCAGAGGAAAATGTTTGAACTCTTTGGAGATATTGAAGGTGTTCAACTATATTTTGATGATTTAATTATAATAGGTGAAACAGAGGCAGAACATGATAGCATTTTCAAAAAAGTATTAGATAGAGCGTCAAAATACAATGTCAAATTTAATAAATCTAAAATTCAATTCAAATCAAAAGAAGTGAAATTTCTTGTCAAACCATGCCAGTCATATGTAAATGCCATTAGTGATATGCTAAGACCTAGAAATAAAACAGATTTATTAAGATTGCTTGGCATGGCCAAGTTTTTATCAAAATTTGTGCCAAATATGTCCAAAGTTACTGCTCCACTACGGAACTTAACACGACAAGACGTTGAATGGGATTGGGTAAGAGATCACGAAGAATCGTTATCACAACTTAAACACTTGTTAACAAAAGCCCCTGTCCTTGCATACTTTGATCCATCTTTCCCCATTGAAATTGAAACAGATTCATCAAAAAATGGTATTGGGTCATGTTTACTTCAAAACGGGCATCCAGTAGCTTGTACTATGTACTATGTACATTCTCTACATAATTACTTGCCAATGTCAGAACAAAAAAATATTCTGTTTAAAGAAATGACAACAAAAGATGATCAATTGCAAACTATTATGAATTTTATACAGACAGAATGGTCAGTTTCTAGAAAGAAAGTGTCAGAAAGTGTTATTAATTTTTATAAGCTTGGAGATGAGTTATCGATATCTGAAAGCTTAGTATTCTTCAATCATAAGCTAGTTGTTCCTAAAAGTTTAAGAGAAGAAATGTTAGATAAACTCCATGAAGGACATTTGGGAATAGAAAAAGTGAAAGCTCGTGCTAGGCAAATTTTCTATTGGTCTCTTATGAGTCAAGAAATTGAAAATTATATTAGAAGATGCAGAATTTGGGAAAAACCCAAACAAAGATTGAACACCTGGATGGCAANTGGAAAGGCTGATATAGATTTATTGAAGTATAATAAAAATAAAAGGCATTCTGCTAGTTTTATTAAAAGTATACGAAAAATTAGTAAAAAGTATGTGCCATAGCCGAACCTAGTCCTTCAACACTTTGAAGAAATAATCCAGTTCAAGGCGAGTATCTTCAGGCAAATCAGTGCAATGGACGGCATTCTTAAATTTGTCCCACCCGTACTTGGCCCTCAACGTATTCGGCCTTATCTGCCTAGCTATCTCAGCATCAAAAGGCCCGCAAAACTTCCTAAATTCCTCATGGACGTTCATATCACAATTTTTCCCCGCTATCTCCAGAGCTACGCAAGGCCCATCCAAGAAACTGAGCAGCAAAGCATTGTAGTCGCTCACAACGCCTTTGTAGACCTCCAAAAATTCGTCAGCGTTGGCGTTGCTCAAATGGAACATCTGAGCAGCAGTGACCTTGAAGTGTGAGTCGGTAATGGACGTAATAATGTTCCCCAAGTTTCCTTCGTGGATGGCGTGGGGTTTGATAACACAGCAAGTGGTGTTTTTCAGAAGAATGGTGGACTGCGGCTTGTTCGCGGAGAAGAAGAAGCTCGACTCTTTGATAGCGCTTTCCGGAGACGCCGAACCATGGAAACCACTCGTAGCGTGGGAATCCTTGCCGTAGATTGCTCTAAGGCTATTTGGAGCTACTTTCCTGGCTTCTATTGGATCACTAGGGCCCATGAGCTGTCGCCATCGTTCTATGGCGTTTTCTCCCACTAACTCGACTGCTGCCAGCGGCCCCGACACTATTTGCTCCAAGACGAAAGGAAGAGAGGTTTCCCCCTTCCGATCCTCGTAGAATTCCAGGGCCTCCTTCCTACTGAGAACGCACATGCGTAACTGCAAAAACTGTAAAAATGATGACCTACAAATAAATCTTGAAATCTTGAAAAAAAAATCTTGAACATTGGTCTAATGATTTTTGACCCCACCATACAATTATACTAAAATATACCTGTGGATTCCAAAAAGATTTTGCACAAGGTTATCGTCACTCCAGTAATGATGCTTTTTCCTGTTATACGAGATCTGTTAAAAAAAGGTGAAGATTCAAATTTTGTGGGCTATGAACATTCGATTAGATATTTTTTAATTTTTGTATGTTGATACAATCTTCTTGCAAGAGCATCGCTCAGGAATTGTTGAATGACGTCAACAGCGATCCTTTGCTTTAAAAAGTCATAACTGGTGACGAATCATGGGTATATGGTTATGACTTTCGAAACCAAAGTCCAATTGTCCCAATGGAAGAAGTATTAGCTCGAAGTTATGTGCCGTTTCCGAGAAGCAATACGAAGAAAACGTATCGTGGAGTAATAATTCATAGCTTTTGCATCACGATAATGCATCTACTCACTCGTCATTGCTTGTACGTAATTTTTTGGCCAAAAACAACACCATTCTCATACCTCAGCCACCGTATTCACCAGATTTGCCCCCTTGCGACTTTTATCTGTTTCCAAAATTGAAGATACCAATGAATGGACGACTTTTTGCAACGATTGAGAAGATTAAAATCGAATCGCTGAGAGAGCTGAAGGACATACTGAAATTTACATACCAGAACTGCTTCGAGGATTGGAAAAAACACTGATACAAGTGTATTATATTTGGGGGAGATTATTTTGGAGGCGACAAAATAGAAATTGTTGAATAAATAAATATTTTTTGAGATAAAGGACAACCTACAAATAACAAATCAGTCACACAAACCTACTTGATTTCCAAATTAAAGGTTTTCAGAAAAGTTAGATTTTCTCGAAATAACTTCTGATGGATTTAACAAGTTTTGGAAACGGGCACCTCATGTATCAAATGCCGAACAGTACTAACAGTACAACATACACTTGTAGACTGTCCAGAATATGAGGAATCCAGGAGGCAACATAACATAACTGGGGCAATGAAAGAAATTCTAAGTAATGATAGACGAACGTTGAGCAACCTGATGGCATTTTTGAAAGTTGCAAATATAATAGATGGAATTTGAAAAACAAATAGCAAGTACGCGGCTAATAACCTAGCAGTTGATGCCGCAAAAAAGACTGACAATGAAAATCAAGGATTTACGAGAGAGATTTCATAAACGACGAAGTGACAAAAATCAATTGTTTCATACCGTCTTCCAAGATGCAAACAAAATACGTTAAGCACGTACTTTCTTAATAAATTAAATAGCAAATACTGCAAACGATGGTTTTAATTTCTTGATAAACTTGACGGAAAGTGGAAAAGGCGCATTTCCGTCATTTTTGAATTCAGGATAAAATTTTAATAGCAACGTAGATTCGAAAAAGAGTAGACAAAGTATTAAGGTAAAATATACAAGGTGTATAAATAGAAAACTTGATGTTCAATTGTTCTTCAGTTAGCACCACGTTACTCAGCGGAAAAAACACTACTCGTTCTGTGATTCAAGTGAACTCGTATTTTTTAATGATAAAGAAGTAATCGATAGTTCCGACTTGAGTTTGATCACACTGTATAGTATGTATCTCATTGTATATGAGAAATAAATACATCTATGTGAAGGTTAAAGACCTGTAATTCAATTCGAAACTTTAGAAAATATTTGAACACCACGTACATTTTTAGAAACATTTTTGTTTCTAAAAATCACGTATCACGTGTATATACGTTCTTTGACTTTAATGTGAAGTAGTTGGTTCAGAACAAAAATTTTCCTTGAAATTTGAAAAATATTGAGGATTCTTACCTTTACGTAGGCAATGAATAACATGAAATAGATGAAGCTTTTCATTATGCTTCGAAACTGTGGTCACATAAAAACTAATTTTTCTTCAATACGTATTTTTGTGTTTTGTTGAAACGTGATCAAATTATATCAGTAATCAGCGTTTGTTTTGCAATGAATTTGATATGCTCATTATAAAACGATGGGGTCAAGACGTTACTGATATTTACCATTGCAATTGAGTTCGTCCATTAAGATAGTTACTACAATAAACTTAACATATATCAATGCTTTGAAATATTTATGCAAAGTTTGTGCAATCTATATAAGCCTATATGTAAATATTTTTTGGAATGCAGTTTAAATAAAATCTATCTATCTATCTATTTTTCTGAAATTAATCGATTATCAATCGCCATTCCAATATTTATGAATTTGCTTAATGTGCCACACTGTCGGAGAATTTTTAGATGACAATTTAAATGCGCATAAACTGGTGAATACGTAATACACGCTTAAGGTGCGTTTTCACGAGTAAGTTTACTTGAACGATTTCAGTTGTTCTACAAGAGTTGAACTAAAAATCTATATTAGAGGTTTCACCTCGGAATGAGAGATAGTCAGCTATATACGTTTATTTCGGCACCCTGAAACTTGTCTCGGAATCTACTTATCGTAGAGTGTCCGCAAATAAAGATATTTCAACTTCAAAGTTAAAAAAATCGATTATCCCATATTTATTGCAAATATCTCGTTTCCTATAGGTTTTGGATTTTATGCTATTTGTATTTGGAATAAATATTGTAGAGGATTAAATTCTCTACAACTTCTGTTCAAACATTTTTTTATATCGTTGACCATTTTCGAGGTAGATGGCAGAGCGCACGCAGTGTTTACCTATTTTGAATATCATTCGAGGTCAGACTGGAGTCCGGATTAAAAACACGTCGTATAAAGTTTATAAATTGTTGATAAATATGTAATTCTAAATAATTACGTTATGATCAATAATTTTTTTCAATAGTTCGGTATCTATTAATTTAATAACACTTATAAAACAGTTGAAATGTTGGGGAGCTGCTGCACTCATTAGAGGAAGATTTGATAACTGCACAGGTTTATTCAGTTTTGTTAACCTGATGAACTGTGCATAGCGAAGACGATCGATACAGGCCTCAAATTTTGGAGCATTATACAGGGTGTCAATTTGAAAACTTCCCACCCTTAATATCTTCTTTCCAGTAAATAATATGAGGAATCGAAAACAGGTCAATTTAATAGTCAAGGGGGACACTTTGTAGCCCTTGTGGTTCAATCCCCACGGATGGGTAGATGTTACCCTTAGAATATTAAATGGAAAGGGGTATCAAGTGGCGTTCAATTCTGCTCCCAATGATACCCTGACGTTTTATTTTTTGATGAGCAATTTCCGAAAAATAGCGTTCTAAACTTACACATGTAATTAGAATTCGCCTGTTCTGAGATGCATTATTGTATTGACTCCTTTTAATAAAAATGATTATAAGAGTAGGTGGCACCGTTCCAACCCTTTAATGGAATAAATGTATTACACGTGGGATTTTTAATTTGTTGGTTATTGTCCGTTTACAAAATAAAATTTAATTCGCGAGAAAGACATTTCAAACATAAAATCTACTTACGCTCATCTTATAAACTGTTTGAAATGTCATCCATTTAGCTCGAAACAGTAGTAAAGTTTGTTTTCGAATTCTCCTCTAACATTACGGAAAACTCAACTGGGAATTGACTGGTATGCTGCTGAAATTCGGCTTTTAAGTTCTTCTATATCGGAAGGTTGTGTTTTATAAACGATGGATTTGAGATGCCCCCCATCTATCTATCCAGAAATCTTTCGTTTAACCACTGTCAGACGGGAAGAAAATTGTTGTGTATGCCCTTCCAAAAGAATATGTGGGTTTTCGTTTCGTTCGATTGATATTGAATACAGAATAAAGGAAATAACTTTTGTCTAATTTCTACTTATTTTAGTTTTCGTCACTGATACATGATTTCACATTTCACATGATTTCACAAAACTCTATTCTTCTATCATAATCATATACATTTTTAAAGGACGAAATTTAGGCATTTTCAATGCTTTTCTTACAGTCTCGCGTGACATTCCCGTCTCTTCTGATACTAATCATAAGGAGCTCGTAGGCTCTGCAGCAAATGTTTCAAAAACTTCAATTTGAGCTGCTTCATTTGGTACTTTGGGGATATTTAATTTTTTATTTGTCACTGAACCAGTTTCGTAAAACGTTTTCACCAAATCAAGCACATACCGGTGATTTACATTACATTTTGGATGTCTTTCGTTAAAATGACATGCCACCCTTTGTGCGCCCTTTCCAACTTCTCCATAAATTACAATCATTTCAATTCTGTCTTGAAGAATGTAAACCATTTTTGCACTTCTATACACTTATTAAAGTAATCACTGAACAGTCCAACACAATACTACCATATCGTTCAAATTTGCGAACCAATTTTTGCCTGAAAACAGAAACTTTTTACAGCAGAAGTAGCAAAAAAGGACAACTATCTGTACACTTTCTGCGATGAGAAATGAAAATTCAGCATTTACTAAACAAAACTTTACTACCATCTAAGTTTCACTATTAGATTACTGTTCAATGTGAATTATTTGGAGCTAATGGCAAATGTTACCCCTAATGAAGGGTTGGAACGGTATCACCTAATATGGAAGCAGAATTGAACGCCAATCAAAATGATGTGACGCTTGATCACCCTTCACATTAAAAATTCTAAGGGTAACATCTCCCCCCTCCTAGAGGGTTGAACCACGAGGGCTACAAATAGTGCTTGATCGTGTCCCCCTTGACAATAAAATTGACCTGTTTTCTCGCTTCCTCATATTGTTTACTGGAAGGAAGATATTAATGGTGGAAAGTTTTCGAATTGAATAAGACTGCCAGAGATCTTCAACCCTTGAAACCTGGCCAAAATGTACACTGTATTCAACCATATTAATGAAGAATGGGAACCAGGAAAAATTGTACAATCAACTGGAAAACAAAGGTCTTATAAGGTTTTTGATAAACATGGTGAGAAAAGTCCTTCAAGAAGGGCTTCCTTGAAAGTGAGTGACCTCTCAGTTCCATAAAATGTAAATTTTCTTAGCGACTCAAAATAAATATTATTATTATTATTATTATTGCATTTTCTGATAAAGCTATGCATTGTTATTAGCCTTTTGAGCAGGCACATGGGATGACCAGAAACTTGTGCGAGCTAAGAACTAACGAAGTTTTACCTTTTAACGTGTGATTCCTAACACGGGTTGGACGATAGCAAGTGAAAATCGATCGTTCAGCCTGGGGCTCGAACCACCGACCAACACGGCGGTCGATTTGAGCAAGTGAACAAAGCACCCACGTTTAACTGACCGGCTACCGACCGACACACGTGTGTCTCCAACTTCACAACAGTTCGTACCTATTGAGTGGAGTTGTAAACGTACTCTTCTATGAAGAGAGGGTAACAAAGCCCACTTTTGAGTATACCCATTAATGGCACCCCTACGACACTGGGATGCTGTTGTGGTGCCCAGTGTATTATATGGTAGTTATTTGGTAACATTGTGTAGAGTAGTTGGCAACACTGCCCCGGCTAAATGTAGTGTTACCACGTGAATGATTGAATGTAATGCTACTTTTGATAATTAAAGAATTAAGACATTAATCCTGGCTGTTAATGTTACATGGTGTCAGGTAAATTGGATTAAACCCTGGACTGTGTATAATTGAACGCTGGAGAACTATGGAATCNTAAATTTTTTAATTAATTAATTTTATGATATAATATAGTTCGTCAGAAAAAGAACGAATACAATAAATAAAGTTTAATGTATTCTTTTGAAAATGTCCTTGTAGGATGAAACTGCACTAACGTTGGTTACAAATACAAGTGGCATAAAAACATAAAATGTTCTATTTCTCATTTTTCTCTATATGTCTTATTTTTTTTTTTTGATGAACAATATATCAAAAGTTTTAATAAAACATGAAACAGAGAATTTCAGTTCATGTACTCGTATTAGCGAAATATAAGAAAATTTCAATAATTTTTATATTTTTTCATAGTTGATGAGCTTCAAAGAATTTTTTATAGAAAACTAAGCATGATACAAAAAACTTAAGGGATGTTTTCACTATAAATATGAACCAGGTAACATCTACTCTCGGTAATTAGAGTATTTGAAGTACTTTGAATACTTTTTGAAAGACTCTATGTTTAGTAGCTCGAGTACAAATTTCATGAAAAACCAATGCCAATAATTGGATTGAGGATTCAGTTGCTTAGATCCTGTACTTTCTTTTCTTAAATACTTGAAATATTGTTGTGCCGATTGATAAGGAATATACACCGCCGCAAGGATTCCCAGTTTAACCATAATGATTTTAGGTTTGTTTCCTTGTTCACACATAGATGGCGTTTCCGTGAGAAAGGTATAATATATACTCTCTACTTCCGCAAATCTAGTTAAATAGAAATTGTTGAATAAATAAATATTTTTTGAGAAAAATTAAATTTCATCTCGTACATTCTTCGATTCCTGAAATTAGATTCCTCGCTCCATAGAACTAGTCTTAGGAAATCAGAATTAGCGTTTTTATCATTCACAGACTATCGGCAGAATGTCATTCGTCTTTCTTGGTCGCCGGGTAAAAGACACTGAGTAGATCTGTGTTTATACTGCACGAACTTATGTTTTTTCAAAATGTTCCGGATGGTTCCGAAACACAGCCCACTGGCTCTCACACAATCTTTTATGGAATATTCACGATTTGCTTTAAAAGAAGCTAGCCCATTTATTTCCGTTTTGCGTCCATTGTAAATGTATTCCTCGACTTAACTCTTGGCAAAAACCTTTTCACTTGACCTGAATTTTCCCATTTCAATAATTAGAATTTATAGGCTATATACTAATCTTTACTATTCTGTGAATTTGCACGAAACGAAACTCATTTCCTAATTTGTACCGACTCGTTGAGTTCCATAAGATCATTTAAAAATAAATT